ATGTGAGCCATGAATTACTCAGGTCTAAATTTCAGTCACCACTGAGTAAGAGACTAACCATCTTTTCTGTGATTAACGTGGCATTGATGAGTCACTTACATGTATCCTGTTTTCACTAGGTTGTTAAACTTAAAACAGTTGCACAGAAAATGGTACCTGGATCCACACATTCTCCCCACTGTCTCCTTAAGAATCATTTCCTTATATTTTCTATACCGTCCTCTCTTTTCTGAAAGGATTATTACCAAAGATAATTAAATGTAGGCTTAAAAAGTCATAAAATGAGAATTAATGTTCTTTATAAATTTATTTTTGGAGAAATTGAGAATCTCATGAATTATCTCAATTTACATAAGAAATTTCATTTTATCACATATCTTAGGATTTGGTGCAGTTCCCTTTGAATCAACCTGCTAATGGACAGATTCATAATAATTTACTTGATCTATATTTATTTGAAATGGATTATAAAACTTTTGAAAATCACAGTCGGAAATAAATAATAAATGAATCTACATGCTAGCAATATTTTATTTCATTTAAGCAAGTTAATTCATTAATAAATTTCTTAAAAACATCCTCAGAAAAGAAGAAAGATGAATGCATGCCTAGGTATAATTCTGAATATCACTGTGAGAAGTCATTAAAGTATTTTTAAGGGTGCTTTGCTAGAAAAAAACTGTGCAGGATAGAATTTGATATTAACTGCTCTATATTTGTACAGATTGAGGCCCTGGCTAGCAATGGATCAGTTCAAGAGGGAGAGAAAGGGCTCAGAAATTCGAGAAATCTGATGAATGTCTATTCTTTTTTTTTAATTTTTAAAGATGTATTTATTTTAGAGAGAGAGAGAGCATGCACACACACAGGGTGTAGGAGGCAGAGGGAGAGGAAGAAAGAGAATCTCAAGCAGATTCCCTGCTGAGCACAGAGCGCAATCAGGGCTCGGTCTCAGGACGCTGAGATCATGACCTGAGCCGAAATCAAGAGTCAAATATTTAACCGGCTGAGCCACCCAGGTGCCCCATGAATGTCTACTCTCGATAGCCTCATTCCACATTATCTCTTCTTTCTAAAGTGATCCTTCTACTTTCCTAACAGATTTCTCAAGCAAGTGCCTTTTAATGTATATATCTTTTGTATCTTGTAGCAATTATTTGTATTTTATAATAATTTCTCCTGATTCAATTTTTATGTCACTAAAATGGACATGTATGCTTAATTTAAAAACAATATTTAATTAATTCCCTTATTTTAAAAACCATGTTTTAAAAACAACTTTTCTTGATCTTTCTAGTTTGAAAAATATTATTTAAACTAATTATTTAATAAAACTGGAGAAGCGCCTGGGAGGCTCAGATGGTTAAGCATCTGCCTTCGGCTCAGGTCATGATCCCAGCATCCTGGGATCGAGCCCCGCGTCGGGCTCCCCTTGCTCAGTGGGAAGCCTGCTTCTCCCTCTCCCTGTGGCCCTCACCCTGCTTTTGCTCTCTATCTTTCTGTCAAATAAATAAAACCTTTTAAAAAAAAAGTAAAAATAAAACTGGAAACTGCTACTTCTGACAAAAGAATAGATTTATTTCCCACGTACATCAAGTAAGGACTACTGAACAAATGCCAACAGCTGCCAAGCCATCGACTTTCTGCTTATGCCACACAAGACATACATTTTTAAAGAGGAAGACATATGAGCTTTATATCATGTATGCATAGGCATTTGTGAATAAATACCAAAAAAAGTTCTGTCCCAAACTATAGTTACCTCTTTCATCTTAGGGAAATCCATAAAAATTAATACATCAGGTTTTGTTAGAGTTACATGTTTCACTTAACCATAGTATGCTTTAGTTACTAGAAAATATGTTCCTTTTTGTTGGTGGTGGTATTCATTTTTTCATTTTTTATTCAGGTATAAATTACACAGAATGCAAGTCATTATTTTTGCATTTTGAAATATGCACCACAAGCAAGATATAATACAGTTCCATCCTTCTACCAAATTCATTTATGTCCCTTTTGACATTTTAATAGTTTATATTAAACTATAATATAAGACCGAGAAGAGGTCCCTGGTGTACAAAACCCTTCACTGGATTGTCTTCCATCCCTATAGTTTGCCACTTTCAGAATGTCATATAGACAGAATCAGATACTATGTAGCTATTTGAGTCAACTAAGCAAATTCTTTCTACTTAGCATAATGCATTTGAGATTCCCCCATGTTTCCGCGTGTTATCAGAAGTGTATTCCTTTGAACACACTAAGTAGTATTCCATTAATGGATATACAGCTGAAGGTCGTGTAGCTTTTTCCAATTTTTGGCAACTAGATAAAACTGCTATAAACATTTAGTTTATTCTTACCGTATTCTTCAATCCCCATTTAGAGTGAGGATGGATTCATGGAAATGGGAATTGTTGTAACAATTCCCTCCTATCAAAGCATTACAATATTGTTTTTTTCGAGGTATTTTCCTGACAAAGCAATATATTACCTATGATCAAGGTATAAGTATTTCTTGTCCGATATCTTTGTCATCTAGGAATTCTTTAACACTGAGGTTTAGGCCTAGAGTGTAATCCTCACCCGTTTGGGATTCAGTTGTCCTCAGATTACATAACATGAATATAAACTATTAAAATACTTCCATGCTTGCTCTTTATTATTTTTTATTATTATGTTACATTAATCACCATACATTACATCATTAGTTTTTGATGTAGTGTTCCATGATTCATTGTTTGCGTACAACACCCAGTGCTCCATGCAGTACGTGCCCTCCTTAATACCCACCACCAGGCTGACCCATCCCCCCACCCCCTTCCGCTCTAGAACCCTCAATTTGTTTCTCAGAGTCCATAGTCTCTCATGGTTCGTGTCCCCTTTGAAAACAGTCAAACAATATGATAAGAATCAGAAGACCCTTACCTAGGAGAAAGAGCATTTAATGATAAAGTGATCAGAGATGAATAAAAGAAGGCTAGTGTATTCTTTTTCCAAGAACAGCGGACCAAGCTGAAAATAAATTAGCCTTATGTGAGGCAATGGCAGAAAGTTTTGCGTAGATGCGTAATAATACAAGTGTGAGACTGCGTCTGTATCTTTTAAGCTACATAGCCCTTGATATTATTTAGAATAGTGCTCCATGCATAATGGTTTCAGTAAATGCTTTTTTAAATGATATATCATACACTTATCTGATGAAAAATAAAATAAAATAAAAAATAATGCATCAATATGCACGAGTATATGCATATGTGTGTATATATATTTGCATAGATAAACGAGAGAAGATAGATAGATATACATACAGCAAGAGCCCAAGGAAGAAACATCAGTGTACCATATTATACTTCATTTCCCACATTAATAAGTCACACTCTTTCGCTTATTAAATATTTTTCTATCTTCTATTTTAATTCTCCATGCCCAAATTCTTTGACACATATTATGTCTAGGAACAAGTGATTTATTTTAGTATGTAAGCTTAAAAACCTTTAAAATGCCTCCTGAGAAGCTGATTACTTTGGAGAAATTCATTCACAGTGAAAGAAAAATACAATTAAAAAAATAATGGGGAAGGAATTTGGAAATGAAAGACATTTACAAAAAATTAGGACGTTTTGTGATCTGTAGGATGTACACCAAATCATTCTTCTGAACCTAAAGTTGGCATTTAACTTTCATTAGCTGAAAATTATTTCCTCTCACAAAGTTAATATGGAACAAATATTTAAAGAAGGGGAAACAAATGATGAACTTACATGGTGAACCATGGGCCTCATTCTGACTTTCAGACAAATTGATCATTAAGGGAAATATTTACGGGTAAGCTAGCTATAGCTGAACTATTTAGAGAGCCATGGTTCACAGAGCTACGATTAATATCGGGAATATTTATTACACAGAATTTTTATTAGGCTGAAATCACCTCAAGGAAGTTATTGTATAGAAATAAATATAAAAACAATCAGTTTGTAAGTATTTGCACATAAGAATATTTATTGAAACTTTTTAAAAGATATTCTTTATTTATTTTGGCACAGAGAGAGAGAGAGTACAAGCACAAGCAGGGGGAGCAGCAGAGAGGGAGAAGCAGGCTCCCCGCTGAGCAGGGAGCCCACGGACCCGGATGTGGGGCTCGATTCCAGAAGCCTGGGATCTTGACCCCAGCCGAAGGCGGACAAGCAGACGATTGACTGACTGAGCCACCCAGGCGCCCCTATTGAAACTTTTTTTTTTTTT